CATTTGCTAATTCATTAGGTAGGAACTTACAAAATGTGTTAAAAAAGGGTCAATCATAAGATCTACAATGACTAATTTTTTTCACAAAGCTCACATTCGTAATTCGAATTTTTGAAGTTATTGAATGTCTGTTATTGATGTAGATGACAAAGAAAACATTGAATAAAATTTCAAATTGAAAGCTAATCTTTAATTGACGAACTTTTCTTTTTTGTCTATTGATAGACCATACAAGGTTTGAGTCATATATTGAAAATCTTTCAATTCCGATTGAAGATATCTAGACTACATTAGGTAAAATTATCTTAACAATTCATCTACGTCAAGAATATGTATCGGTTGCACGAGTTGAACAGGATCTTTTCGCACATTATGGTGTTCAATCGTTTCGAGAATTAGGCGTCAATCAACGAGATCTCAAGACTTCAACGAATCATATTCATCGCGATAAAGATGTTACTTTGTACATGCAAGTATTCGAACAAATTTTCAATTTATGTACGTTGTACGATCTTGCTCCGTTAATCGTCAAATTTCTCAAAGTGAACAAATATGAAGATGCACATCTTGGACCACTCGATGAACATCCTACCGTAAAACGAGTCTTTAAATATAAACCAATACAACGTCAAGTACTAATTCCTGAAATAACAAGTGAAGAAATCATACATGCATTTGTCGAGTTTCAACAGAGTCATCAACGTAGAAAATTTCTCTATGAAGATTTTATTGATGAACTTGTTCAAGAATATCAACTAGAAAAACGTGAACAACTTGGCCTTTTTTGTAGATCTTTTCCGTATTTAAGCAAAGTAACAAGAAAATTAACACAAGAATGGAACAGATGTGATAAACGATTTGTATCCGATGATACTAGAAGTATTATAAATGAAGTTGAAGACAAATTACGAGAAATAAAACAGGAGGTGTCGAGTGAACTCAAACTTTCGTCATATACAAACAAATCGCCAATGTCTGTTTTTGATAATCTTATTTCAGTTGTTGATAAACATTTGAATATTGCCCAACAGAAAGTAGTTCATGATTTATTGATTAAAATTCGAAAAGATGATTTATTAAGATATTTATTAAACATTAGCATTTATATGGATTCAATGGACAAACCTGAAAAATTCATTACTGAATTTCAAAAACTCACTTAAAGTCAAAACGAGAATCAAAATCCTACTTCATTATCACAACAATCTTCAAAGGGATTGTTTGGGAATCTTGTGATTCACTTTGTGTACCATTTTAGACACTTTCCTCACCCTTATGATCAAACATGATTTTTCGAGGGTTACCATTCATATCTGTAATCTAAAAATATTCACATTCTTTTCGAAAAATCTTACAATTCTCAGAGTCTGCATATTTTTCTACGTTTCGAGTTTGAAACATCATTTCCATTACTACGAAACCATAATAACATTACGTGTATAAGTAAAAGATATATTCATCTCATTTTTGCTCACATAAATGACATCGTGATGTTCTGCTCCATGTGTAGTTTGATACGGCTCTTGAAATTGTGTTAATCGAGTCGAGTCAGCACTTATACAAAGTAGAAAATCGTGCTTTTTCTTATCGACTGTTAGGTAGTATTAATCACGTGATAACTTGTCTTATCTCTTCTCCTCTCCCTAACCGATCAAGTGACCTCTGAACAGTGTCAAATGCAAAGAACTCTTTGGATAATAATTATCATCAACGAAATTCGCAAGATATATCCAATATCCATAATGTAAGTTCACGTCCCTGCGACAAATTGATCCATCCATAAAATGAAAAAAATTTTTTTTTGTATCAATCAGAGCCATTCGAGAAGTTGCTCAACTTTTCATACAACACGATAAAAATAGGTTCGCAAATTTTTTTCTAGAGATAAAATGTTGTGAACCATCGCAATCGACTTCGATTGAATCTTCTATTATCTATATTAGTTAGGATACAAAATCAAAAGTTAAAAATTTCAATGATTTACTGCCTATGTTGTTTTTAGGTGAAATCAGGAGGAAATGTTTTTTCTACAATAAATGAAACATCATTTTCAAATTTGTCTTCATCATCATATGAAACAAGATCGCCAGTATCTCTCCAAGATATATGTTCCGATCTGTTCAATATTCTCGTTCGTTTTGATTCGGTTCTGACAATCAAACAACTCTACGAGATACAGAATTATTTATGTAAAAAATATTCAATAAAAAATTTCTCCGAATTTCGTTTTAATGATAATGATGATGATGATGAGAACAATTATCTTGATCTTATTTCATTTATTCATAAACATCGTGATAAAATTGATCCGCATGGAGATTTATCAATATATGAATATATTTCGTCAACTGGTGATCGACAAGAAATCTATACATTTGTTAATCAACTTACAATGATTAAAAATTGAAGAGAAAAACAAAAACAAAATGA